TGTTAAATAGTGGTGGTTTATTAAATGGTTTTCGCCCCATGATTGTATTTCCTTACCCCAACAGTATTAGTTTTCTCAAGTCGACTTAACTCTATTGTTAGAAAGGAAAGCACCAAAAGCCAAGCTATCTAGTTAGCACAAAATAGTAACTGTGAGAAGTGCAAATATTTGATCCAGTCAGGAACAAATCAATGGCTTAACTGCAAATGTCACCTAATTTTCTGTTCTAATTACTAGTTATCTTGTCGGTGGATCTATAGATGTAGTATTCCTGTTTATTTTTCTACATTAATATACAAGTACAGAATTCCCATCGGATGTGTTCATACTTATTTTTTCTCCTCTGTTGTTACAGAGTCAAAAGTCTCGTCGTGAGGAACTTCGCATCCACATTGCCAATATTTACCGTTCACTTTCTGAGAATATCTGGCCTGGCATGCTAAGCCGGAAACCAGTTTTTCGCCTTCATTACTTGAAGTTCATTGAAGAAACTACCAAACATATATTAACAGCTCCTTCTGAAAGTTTTCAAGATATGCAGCCCCTGCGTTTTGCACTTGCTTCTGTTCTAAGATCGCTGGCTCCTGAATTTGTTGAGTCAAAATCAGAGAAATTTGATATTAGAACTAGAAAGCGGCTGTTTGATCTGCTGATGTCCTGGAGTGACGAGACAGGTAGCACATGGAGTCAAGAAGGAGTAAATGATTACCGTCGTGAAGTTGAACGATACAAGTCTTCTCAGCATAGCCGTTCAAAAGATTCCATAGATAAACTTTCGTTTGATAAGGAATTAGGTGAGCAGGTTGAGGCAATCCAGTGGGCCTCGATGAATGCCATGGCTTCACTCTTGTACGGGCCTTGTTTTGATGATAATGCAAGAAAGATGAGTGGACGGGTTATATCTTGGATTAACAGCTTGTTCATTGAGCCAGCACCAAGGGCCCCATTTGGTTATTCACCAGCAGATCCAAGAACACCATCTTACTCAAAATACACAGGAGAGGGTGGCCGAGGCGCAACTGGTCGTGATAAGCATAGAGGTGGCCACCTTCGAGTTTCCCTTGCAAAGCTGGCTCTGAAGAATCTTCTTCTTACAAACATGGACCTCTTTCCTGCTTGCATTGATCAGGTAAGTATCATGTCATCCTGCTGTCTGCTACTGTTTCAAATAACTGCTTCATGGTTGAATTATCATTTGCTACTCTGTAAATAGCTGGCTTTAAGCAAAGAGTTAAATTTGTCTATCACAGTTTGTCAGAGTGTTTGTTGTCATGGATGGTGCCCTAAATATTGAACTCAAACAAGTTCACTTCATATGTCTTTTGCAGTGCTATTATTCTGACGCTGCCGTAGCTGATGGCTACTTCAGTGTGCTGGCTGAGGTCTACATGCGTCAAGAGATACCTAAATGTGAAATACAGAGGCTTTTAAGCCTGATCCTCTATAAGGTGGTTGATCCATCTCGACAAATCCGTGATGATGCCCTTCAAATGCTTGAGACACTTTCTGTACGTGAGTGGGCTGAGGACGGCACTGAAGGCTCAGGAAGCTATAGAGCTGCTGTTGTTGGCAACCTCCCGGACTCGTATCAACAATTCCAGTACAAACTCTCATGTAAACTTGCAAAAGATCATCCTGAACTGAGTCAGCTACTTTGTGAAGAAATAATGCAGAGGCAACTTGATGCAGTTGATATAATTGCACAGCATCAAGTACTTACCTGCATGGCTCCGTGGATTGAAAATCTCAATTTTTGGAAACTCAAGGATTCGGGTTGGAGTGAAAGACTGTTGAAAAGTCTTTACTATGTGACATGGCGACATGGTGATCAGTTCCCTGATGAAATTGAAAAGCTTTGGAGCACAATAGCAAGCAAGCCTCGGAATATTAGTCCAGTTTTAGATTTCTTGATTACAAAGGGGATTGAAGATTGTGATTCAAACGCCTCACCAGAAATTAGTGGGGCATTTGCTACGTACTTTTCAGTTGCAAAAAGAGTTAGCTTATATTTAGCTCGAATATGCCCACAGAGAACAATTGATCACTTGGTTTACCAATTGTCTCAGCGGATGCTCGAGGACAGCGTAGAATCCATGAGACCTAGTGCTAGTAAGGCTGACGCCAATGGGAATTTTGTGTTGGAATTCTCTCAGGGGCCTGCTGCTACTCAGATTGCTTCTGTTGTAGACAGCCAGCCTCACATGTCACCTTTGTTGGTTCGGGGATCCCTTGATGGTCCACTAAGGAACACGAGCGGAAGCTTGAGCTGGAGAACAGCGGCTGTTGGAGGCCGAAGTGCCTCTGGCCCACTAAGTTCTATGCCGCCTGAGTTGAATATTGTTCCTGTTTCTGCTGGTCGGTCTGGCCAACTTCTTCCTTCACTTGTGAACATGTCAGGGCCATTGATGGGAGTCCGCAGTTCAACAGGGAGCTTGCGGAGTCGCCATGTCTCTCGAGACAGTGGAGACTACCTCATTGACACGCCAAACTCTGGGGAAGATGGTTTGCACTCCAGCACTGCGATGCATGGTGTAAATGCAAAGGAACTTCAATCTGCCTTGCAAGGACATCAGCAACATTCATTGACTCATGCTGACATTGCACTGATTTTGCTTGCTGAAATCGCTTATGAGAATGATGAGGATTTCAGAGAGCACTTGCCTTTGCTCTTTCATGTCACATTTGTCTCGATGGATAGTTCAGAGGATATTGTGTTGGAGCATTGCCAGCACTTGCTTGTTAATCTGCTCTATTCGCTTGCAGGCCGCCACTTGGAGTTGTACGAGGTAGAAAATAATGACGGAGAAAACAAGCAGCAGGTTGTGAGCTTGATTAAATATGTACAGTCAAAACGTGGTAGTATGATGTGGGAGAATGAGGACCCCACAGTTGTAAGGACTGAGCTCCCTAGTGCAGCACTCTTGTCTGCCCTTGTGCAGAGCATGGTGGATGCTATCTTCTTTCAAGGAGATCTTCGGGAAACTTGGGGAGCAGAGGCTCTTAAATGGGCTATGGAGTGCACATCGAGACATCTTGCCTGTCGCTCACACCAGATTTATCGTGCACTACGTCCTCGTGTCACTAATGATGCATGTGTCTCTTTGCTTCGCTGCCTCCATAGATGCTTGGCAAATCCAGCACCAGCAGTATTAGGATTCATTATGGAAATCCTGTTGACATTGCAGGTGATGGTTGAGAATATGGAGCCGGAAAAGGTAATTCTCTACCCCCAGCTTTTCTGGGGTTGTGTAGCTATGATGCACACAGATTTTGTCCATGTTTATTGCCAAGTGCTTGAGCTCTTCTCAAGAGTCATTGATCGTTTATCCTTCCGCGATAGAACGACTGAAAATGTGCTTCTGTCTAGCATGCCTCGAGATGAGCTGGATACAAGCGCATCATATGGTACTGACTTTCAGCGTTTGGAATCAAAGAGTGCCCAAGAACCCTTCTCTAATGGCAAGGTACCAGCATTTGAAGGAGTCCAGCCTCTTGTTCTTAAAGGGCTTATGTCAACTGTTAGTCATGGTGTTTCTATAGAGGTTTTGTCACGGATCACTGTGCACTCCTGTGATTCAATATTCGGGGATGCGGAAACACGGCTTTTGATGCACATCACTGGCTTACTTCCCTGGCTTTGCTTACAGCTCAGTCAGGATGCAGTTGTTGGGATTGCTTCTCCACTCCAACAGCAGTACCAAAAGGCTTGTTCTGTTGCGACCAATATTGCTATCTGGTGCAGAGCTAAATCATTGGATGAGCTAGCCACTGTTTTTATGTTTTACTCGCGTGGTGAGATCAAGAGCATAGACAACCTTCTTGGTTGTGTTTCACCCCTCCTGTGCAATGAGTGGTTCCCAAAACATTCAGCTTTAGCTTTTGGGCACCTTCTAAGACTCCTGGAAAAAGGGCCCGTTGAATACCAGCGTGTCATACTTCTTATGCTGAAGGCCTTGCTTCAGCATACTCCAATGGATGCAGCTCAGAGTCCCCATATGTATGCAATTGTGTCTCAACTGGTCGAGAGTACTTTGTGCTGGGAGGCACTTAGTGTATTGGAAGCCCTCTTGCAAAGTTGTAGCTCTTTGCCAGGTTCTCATCCTCACGATCCAATATCATTTGAAAATGGACTTGGTGTGGCAGATGAAAAGATTCTGGCACCGCAGACCTCATTTAAGGCTCGAAGTGGGCCATTACAATTGGCAATGGGATTAGGGCTTGGGGCTGGTTCCACACCCCCCATGCAAAATGCAACTGAATCTGGTTTGCCACCTAGGGAGCTGGCATTGCAGAACACCCGTTTAATGCTTGGTCGGGTGCTTGATGGTTGTGCACTTGGGAGGAGGAGAGATTATAGAAGGCTGGTCCCTTTTGTGACCAGCACCGGGAATCTGTAAGATCATAGCATGTATATTATCCCTTGCATCTCTGTTTTAGGAAGATGGAATGCTGAAAATTGAGATAGCTGTTTCTGTACATAGATGGCCTCTGATATTAGTTGATTATTGTGGTAGTATTTTGTTCGAATATTTAGGATACACCTAGCTGCCGTACTGCCACCGACCAATAGTTTGTAGTACTCTTATTTCACATGAAGTTAGGCGTGCTAATAATTATTGATTACCCAAAAAATTCAGTTCTTGTGAGATGTGGGGCGAGTATGATTAAATATCTCGCGAGTTAGGTTGATTGAATACTCATTGTCGTCTCGGACGGTTGTCTTTTGTATTTTTCAAATGTAGTCATCCGACTTTGAAAGGTTGAATTGTATCAAATCTTTGTTTTCTTCTTCGAATCAACTCCTGGAATCAAAAGAGAAATCTCATTGATGACTTGTGAAGCAGGCTTCAGAGATCATTAAAAATGTTTGTAACATGCCCTGGAAATAGCCTGTAGCCTACTTGCAGCAAATCCAAATTCTTTCTTTGTACGGGTGAACTCGAATTTTCTCTTCTCTTCATATAAACTGGATTTTCTGGTAGGAGGAAGCACAACAAACGGTTGTATTTAACTAGTATTTGATAATCACGACATTCCATGAAAAAGGGCCATAACCAGAATCATCACACAAGATTCTTACAAGGAATAATATACTGGCAAACCAATAGATACAAGAAATATGAACAAGCTTGATCCTGTGTTTCTGCGACTTCTTCCACCAAACAGAAATCCAATTTGGACAGTTGAAAACAACAATGCCCATCGAAGCAAATTACAAAGCCAGGTTCCACCTACATTTGTATACATATCAAACGAATTACCTCAACAATAAATTGAGCAGAGCGCTTCTATTAAAAGTTTTATGGGGCAGATATCCTGCAAGACCCGAACTCTTCCCCATTCGGCAACATGTGATCCCACATTTTGGGAACCTTCAAGATGGTGCATGTAGCCAGGACTGCCACATTCATTTCAGCACAAAGTAAAGGGAGACATCACCCCCTGGGTGATGCATTTTTCTTGAACAATGAGTAAGCATCGCTATATATGGCCACCAGGTTAGAGAATACAGCAACTACAATCATGAATATACACAAGATCCTGTCTTTCTTTGTGGCTATTCCATGTCTATCCCTGGAAAACAAGAAAAGCGAGTCATGAATATATGTACAAGATGAAATTTTGAGCCAAAGCTAATCACGTACCTGTAACGAAACTTGAGGATGATGGATAATCTTCTCAGTGGAACTATGGCTCTCATTCTTAAATACAAAACCTTCTCCCATGTGAGGTTGAGGCTCCAGGAATTCTAGGTTCAATTCCTAAACCCCCCTCTTCCCCACTTGGAAAAAAGAAGGTTGTTGGTATCAAGAGCAAAACATTTGGTGAAAATTGATGGTCTTGGTTTCTTTTTCACACAATTTAAGAAAAGTTACTTAACTTTGTTAGGAGAGTAAATCTAGTCTACTATTTTCCTAAAATACTCTTACATTAATTACAACAATTACTGCCATAAGTGTCTTAAGAGTATTAGGAGTATGAGTAAATCATTATACTTTTACATTAATTACAACAACAATATTGATATGCCAATGCTTTTTGGCAAATTTAACTATATTAAATAAGATAGGTTAGTTAACAAAATACATTAAATAAGAGTATTTTAGAGAAATAAAAAGTTAATTATATTCTTCAATTGGAAAGTGGACTATAATTTGGGCTGGATGAAAAAGAAACAAGACTATCAAAGTGGGATTGAGGGAGTATATTAAAAAGTTTCAGATGTTTCCTCTTAACTATTCAACATAACCTGGAAGTTAGAAAATTTGCAAAAAATACCAGAATGTTTTAAAGCATATGAGTGGCTGTTGATTCCATGACATTTAGCTAACTAACCTGAGAGTAACAGCAGCAGGAAATATGAATCCAATGCAAACAGCAGCAGTCGCTCCAGTGAACTGGAAAGCATCCCAAATGCTGGGTATGAAATTTGCACCCACAAAGGTGAGACCGATGAGACTCATGCTGATTAGTGCAAATCTAAGATTGTCTGAAGTTAATGGCCTCGCAGATGGAAACAGGAGGCCATCCAAGTTCAACCGTAAAGGATAGAAAACAATAGGAAAGACAAGCATTAAGTGGGCAGCATAGCTAATGCGAACAGCATCATTAAGCAGGGAACCATAAGGGATTCCAAGATTGGAATCAAAGTTGGAAAGTACATCATCGAGAGTTGCTTGGCCAAATAGTAGGAATCCAAAGAGGCTCGCCATTGCATATACAGATGAGCAGAGAGTAAGAGAAGTTCGTACAACTGCTTTTATCCGGGTGTTGTCCTCAAGTTCGTTGTCTATCGAGTGAACTGCAATAATTTTAGATATCAGAAATGCAGCTTCATAGATTTAGGATGTATTTTCTGGAGAAAAAGCTTGCAATATTGGACTGAGTAAGTGCAGATGTTAATTTGGACCTAAATCCAATTGTTTAGTTTTACTATTTTCCTTTTCTTATCACCGTTTTGCCTCTATCTAGACTCCAATTACAAATAAGCAGTAAAAAAAAAAAAAAAAATTGCACAATTATAAAAGGTTCAGAGGAAAGAATAATTAACTGCAACAAAACAACTTGTCCAGCCAAGGTCAGATAAATTTGGATGCCATCTTACATAAATCTGACCAATCACTTTTGTGACCTACATGAATTTCATTTCCTGCCTTTTTATTAGTGTTTCTCCCCACTCATTTAACTAACATCACCACAGCAAGAAACAAGTCCAAGGATCAGTTATTCATACCATTGTAGTGGCAGATGTAGGCCGTAACAAAAACAGGAACCACGGTAAAGAGCTTAAAGAATGATGTCAGATCATAAACATCAGGAAGCAGTCTAGGCATCGAAATGGTTCCACTGATCAATTTGAAAACAGTAATTCCCACAGTAATAACAAGGAAAACCACAGCTAGTCCAACAGATAATGCAGACGTAAATTTCAATGAATCTGCAAACAGAAGACGAAGTTGTCAGAGATTCCACATTTTAGATTCAATTTTAAAAAACTGTAATCTAGGAGAAAATTTGAGAGCTCATTAGTCCAAATCTTCAATGACATGCATGAGAGCTTCAATTAAGATTCAGTACAAAGCTCAAACAAAAGACAGCATCTTGATTCCCTTAGGTCATTGATTTAGCGATAGTAGGGTGAATGCCACAAAAAATGGCTGCAACATCTGCCACACTTTGATTTTGCTTTCTCATGAGCAAATCCAATTTTTACAAGAAGAAGCCAGAATTGATCTCTAGATAGCTTAGTTCAAGGAGAAAATAAATTGCGGAAGACCTTAGAGACAATTTAACTTAAAAACAAAATGGCATGCTTGAGACAGATAACAAACAGAATCTCTGCGGTATCTGACATATGAATTCCACACATTAGTGAGAAGGACTTTACCTATACGCTTCAAACTTGCCAATGGTGCAAATATGGCAAGGGTAGTTACCAGAAGAACAAAAAATCTTCCATTCCACCAGTGTGCTCCAAACCACCCTTCCAGGACACCAGGATGGTGAATTCCAGCAGATGTTGAACCAGAAAGCACATCACCTATATAACAACAAAAGTAGGAAGCTTAGGCAAACAGCTTATCAGCGAATAACATTACAATACAAATGACAACCTTAAAGAAAGTCGAAATCTTAATACATTCAAATACAATTCAATGCAGCAGATTATTAATTCAGAAATCAGACGTACCAATGATGATCATGTACACAATGAGCACGCCAACATTATTAACCAAAATACATATTTGCAGCAAGATGCGACCATACTTTCCAAAAGTATCCCCCATAAGGCCCCCATAAGAAGCTGATTTAGCGGCCCTACTAAACCTTAGTAATAACTCAATTGAAGCTTCTGTCAAGAACGCCATAAATATGATAACCGCAATCCCAAGAATAAGACCCAAGACTTTCATGGTAGCCGGCAAGGACATGATTCCAGCACCAATAATAGTGGTTGACAAATTAAATACAGCCCCACTAAAAGAAGCCCCATCGAATTCATCATAGCCACCATCTTCCTCATGCTTCGTGGGCAACAGAGGGGATTTCTCATTCACCACAGATTTTTTGCTCTTTCTTGACTTCTTTTCTTTAGTTGGTTTAATGCTTCCAATCGTCATCACTGAATTCTTAGACTCTTCAGTATGTGATTCAAAATATGTTTCAATCTGCTAGCTAGCTCCTATACAAAAATCACCTGTGTCAGGAAAGCTCAAAAAAGTTAGCTTGGAACTCGGAAGTCTTGGAATGAAGTGCAGCAAACGATATATTCCACTTCGATTGAGTTGAAGATCTGAGAACGAATACAAACTAAAGATTTACCGACTAAAGATTTACAAACTAAAGATAATGTTTTCATACTGAAAGAAGAAATCCTTAGTGAGGATTGCAGTTGCAGAAGAGATGCACGTAGTAAAATCATAGACAACCCAAACTCTTAGTAGACAAACAACAAAGGTAGTAGATATCCCAGTTCACCTCAAAAAAACAACTTTAATTTAAAAGGGAAGCTCAATCAGTAAAGTTGAAACAAACATCCCACAGGATCAGGGGACTTCCAACTCGGAAGCCTGAAGCACTTGAGTTATGTTAAGCTAATTCAAGGTAACCAATTCTGCAGAAAATCAGCTTTTTCAGAAATCAAGAAGGTGATCAGTGCATGCAACAAAAAGCTCAAACTTTCATCAAGATAATTCCACAGACCCGGCCGCTGAACTTAATCCAAATAACCAAGATCGTAATTTTACCTGATATTTACAATTCGGCTCTAAATCCACCAACTATGACTAAAAAATTAAGGGCTCAATGTTATGGGGTTGAAAAATCAATGGAAATATTGGGGGCTAAATTGTTTCAAACGGTCTATACTAGAGTCGTGGCAAATAAAAATAAAAACTTTGGAAAAAAATATCAAAGACCCAGAAGAACAAATATGAACACAAATTCTATCTACCCTTTGGATGAATGACCATGTGACCAATATATTAAGGAGACGGAAAAGAGAGAGAAAGATACAGCCTCACGCAACCTCCCATTTACTATACATATCTGTGCACTGTTAATGACGCTGACCCCAAAATTCAGAAGAAGAAAAAGAGACCTCTAAAAATGGAGAGCTGTTATTAATTGCTATACGTACAGTAGCTTTTTTTATTGGTGGGTACAACGTACAAAAGAATTTATTGATCGGGAAAAAAAGATACTGTGGAATTGAGAAATGACCATTTGGGATTTTTTTTTCCCTCTGTGCAAATTTAATTACAGAAGAAGAAAGAGGACGAGTGATTGAAACTTGACAGGTCCTCTCTTGTTATCAATTGGTTCTAGTCCTTGTCTTCCTTGTCTTCTTGGATGTTAGTAATTGATGATGAAGACAAAATCCCAAATGAAGGATATGGATCTTTCAGGGATTGGTAGGTGAAGTACGAGACCTTCCAGGTCAGTCAGAGCAGCATTCTTTTTAAAGGTTCTACGAACTCATCTTCCTTTTATTTTTGGATGCATGCAATTAACCATGATGTGCAACTGTTATTTATTTGATGATTTGAGGTCCAATGATTGGTTTTTTTTCAGTGTCCTGATATTTTCTGATCTGGCACAGGCGTGTGGTCTTAGTTCCTTGTGCGGTATTTACTCTCAAAAAGACAAAAAAAAAAAAAAAAAAGGGTAATCTCATTTAAGCACATTCCACCAGCATGATAGTACTAATAATTACTCCCTCCGTCCACTTTGATAGTCCTGGTTATTTTTTCACACAGTTTAAGAAAAAGTAGTTAACTTTATTAGAACAATCAATTTAGGTAGCTATTTTTCTAAAATACCCTCACATTAATTAGAGTATAACTTTATAGGAACTTGAATTGATGATAAAAAAAGAATCAACTCTCATTAAATGGGGTAGGTTTATAGTAACAACAACTTACATTGAATAAGGGTATTTTAGGAAAATTAAAATACAATTACATTCTTCAATTGGAAATTGAACTACAATTTGGGACAAACGAAAAAGAAAAACAGGACTATCAAAGTGGGACGGAGGGAGTACTAGTAGTACAAAATAGGTTCAATCGCACTTTGGTCGCAGTAGAAATTTCGCCACAAAGGCAGTACTCAACTAATAGCGGTTCGAGTCTTGCTTCACATATCGCCTCGTGGGTGCTCTTGGGGGCGAGGTACTCCAGGTCCAGGGAGATTAGTCTAGTAAAACTGGGATACTCTCTGGGTTGACAAAAAAAAACTAATAGCATTCGTATCTATTTTACTATACAATTAGTACCTTGTTTGGAATGTATTTTTCTAAATTTTTTTATAGCAAAATTACTGTAGTAATTTGATATATGTGAGGTAAAAAGTTGATTGGAAAATGAGTTCCTGGAAAACATAGCAATTTTTCTTTCCGAACAAAGGCCTAAATTTCTTATGACAAATTAACTCCTACTTTCTTTTATTACTACAACTTTAAAATAGTAATTAAAGCAACACCGTACATGTTACATAGAAGAAAAAAAAAACGAGAACAGTAAATAGAAGGGTATAGAGTTTAATTCTCACATTTTTCTTATGCTCTGTCTTTATCTTTTGAAAATTTCTTATTTCTAATCATAGCTTATTAAACTTTCATTTTACATTTAGTATGTTGTATTTGCCGTAGATTTTTTTTTTCCTTTTGATATCATATCATTGATGATTCACCCCCACTAAATTAAAATCTTGGATACGTCACTGACCCATGCTAAATTACTTTAACCGTATTATGCTTTAGAATATATATATATATATATATCACATTGAGGTGAGATATATCTCTGTTTATTTTCTATTAGGATTTAACTTAGAAAATCGAGTTTGTTTGGATAAGAGTTTATTTGGATGATTTATTTGAGATAATTATTATAACACTTTTTTGTGATGTGATGCATATGAGATAAAAAGGTGATTGAAAAGATAAAAAGATGGTTGAAATTTGTGAAGTAAATTTTTTTATTTGAAATCAAGTCTATCCAAACAAACGCGAGAGGCGCGTTTTTTTTATAATTACTCAATACCATTTTGCTTAGAACGAACATGTGCAAGTAGCATCCTCCCAAAGCACGAGGCGCATTATTAACGGGGACAGAAATTGAGTGGTAGGGCTCTTAGAACTTGAGAAGATATAATCAAGCAGGTGGGCGGTACTTTCGAGTCATGACAAATAATTAATTATCAACATGATTGGATTTCCACAATCACATTAATCCTAGGCGTCCCAATAGATGAAACATGCCAAAATAGCATTGTATTAGTTTAACATAAACTTGGGGTTACCATAATGACATCTGTAGTAGTTAATGGTGAATTTACCTGCGCCTCACAAATAGAAGTAGAAAATTAGCCGGCCAACATTGATAAAACTACAAACGTGTTGCTGTTAATCTACTGTACTATAATACAAAAGCAGAAGGATGGAGGGGTAATGCGGGGACGGGGGAACATGAGCTGGAAAATGGAGAATGAGGCTGATATGGCGACTGAGACTGAGGCCGCTTTCATGGGCCATCACGTCTACGGACGCGGTGAAACCGGCAAAAGAGGACCCATTTTGGTGACGTACATATATATATATATATATATAGCATGTGTGGTTGGAATTGTGTCCTTTCACAGTAGAATTCAACCATTGACTCTGCCTGGTTGGAAACGGGAGTGCAATAGAAATGGACAGCAGAAAATATTAGACTCCGTTGTGTTAATAATTGTCGAAGTTGGATTGCTTGAAATTTGAAAGTTTTGACAAATTCAAAGGCCAGTTTACGTAAAACTAGAGATGAGTAACTTTCAACTAAATGTCAGCTTGGATAATTGAGCATTTTAGCCTTGAATTGAGATAGATCTAGGGATGTAATCGAGTTGAATCGAGCTCAACTCAACTTGTAGGAGGGATACTCGAGTTAGCTCTGTCTCGATTTCGAGTGAATAGCATTATTGGAGTTTGACCTCGAGTTTGATGCAATGCTCATAGTACTCAAACTCAACTCGCATGAATTCGAGTCAAAACGAGCCTTTTCGACCTCGAGTTAGGATGATTTGGGGAATTCTTTTTTTTTTTTGACAATTTTTGAGCGAAAATTCAAAAAATTTCATACAACCTAAAATATTTTGTAAATTCAGCCACTCTTGTGGGGCACAAAGATAATTTCATAATAATAATATATTATAAAATTAAATATAAAAAACTCAATAAGACTTAACAAGTTTTCGAATCTTGCTACTAGATACTCGAACTCGACTTGTTAGTCTCCATCGAACTCGACTCGAATTTGATCAACCCAAATACGAGTTGAGTTTACAACCCTAGACAGACCTCCATGATTCGGAACTCAAGCATCTCTGCTGCCGCAGCAGGGGACTCTTTTATATTCCGAAAATCTTTCTTCATCTACTAACTAATGTTCATGTTCTAGCTGTGTTTGAATAGCTAAATGTTTTTACAAAAATTCTTCTTTATTATGTCATAAATATGGATAGTTTTGAATCTAACATCTTTTACTTAGAATCCCTCCCATCATACCATCAAATCCAACCCCTTCCGTATTACCACCAAATCCAACCCCACTTAGAACACGAATTCTAATGACATTTTTGTTTGTAATATGGTATATTCAACTTGTTTCTCACATTTTTGTTAATGGAGTCGATGATTATAATCAGTAACAAGGAAAGGTACGAGGGGACGTGCTGACGGCGAGGTGGGAAGAAACGAGCCTGGTGGACCACCTCAATCTTCTTGTACTAGAATAATTTAGGCTAATCGTGTGATAACCCACCAATCGTGTGGTAAAGACTTAATTTTCGCAGCCATCAATCCTCACTCAATTTTGTCTACCATCCAGCAATATAATTTTGTGTTCACAAATCGAATCACACTGGCCACTTGCGAGGAAAGGGCGGTCTGAATGGGCCCCCCCAAAAAGGCCCACAAAAAAGGGTTTGAAAGGAACACATAACAAACAAAATTTTGCCGGCCAAATGTTTCATAATTCATTCCCCTCTTTGGTTGGATTTTTTTCTAACAAAAATTAGGTGTCTGACTAAAATATTTACCATGGATTTTGGCAATTACACATGCTGCGTAGCATCCAATTCCAGACCACTCGTTTGCTTTGGAATAATACTTGCAAGGGCATAAATAACGTCATTAAAATAGTTATTGAAGTCATTCATGCAAAGATTAATATAAATAAATAAAAAAAATCTGCCAATGACAAATAGTTAAAGATGTTTTCTATTCAATAATACATTATTCAAAGAATCAAATTCGTCCAAAAATTCCAGGAAATTTTTTTTGCAGTTATTGCTTTCTTTGGGCCTGTAAGAGTTCACAAAGGTTTCGGTCAGAGGCCCAAAATTCGAGATGAACGCACTTGCAAAAGATTGAATGAAAAGTTTTTTACCCAAGTCTGAAACGCTCACAATCGGCCCATGATAGATGGCTCAAAGTCATGTGACTGCCAACAGCCCAACAAGTGTTGATCGCGGGTATAATGTACGATGATGATTCACTTAATTTCACTCCGTACTAGAAAGCAGAGAGAGAGAGAGAGGAGAAAGAAGAAGAAGAAGGTGATCGATTCTTGTGGGAAGTTTAGTTGGTTCTTATTTTTACATGAAAACAACTTCGCGTTTACTGCCTCCCCCGCTAATTTCTCAAAGGTGCATTTTTTCTCCAAAACCCCTATTTCAGTTTCCTTCTTTGTCCAATTATTTCTATTCTCTAACTTCTCCAGCTGCACGTCGAGTACTTTCTTTTTTAATCTATCTGAGTAGCAATTTACACCTCTTTTAAATTGCATATGAGATCTTCTACAATGGGTATGTAAAATTTTTTGTTGATTATATACATGGGTTTCTCTCGGGGAAGAGTGTGATTGGGATTTGATGGTTTTGACCCATTAAAGGGATTTGGGCCTCTCTCTCTCTCTCTCACTAACTTGGTTTTCTTTTTATTGAATGATTTCCTGCATCTGTACCAAAACTTCTGCAGATTCTCTAAGATGATAAAGTGAAATAGGAGATGACAAGCAATTTTGTTGGGAAATAAAAAGTTCCTCTGATGCACAGCAGCTGTTAAGGTGGGTCTTTAGTAAAACCTTTAAATGGGTCTGCGTTGTCAGTTTGGAAATTCTCTGGGCTTAGGGGAGCAAATCCACTGAAAGAGAATGCTGGTAATACATCATTTGGCATCCATAATTGAATCCTGTTCATGTGGGTTTTTTCAATAGTATTGCTATTCTTATGCTAAATTAAAAGAACTATAGAGGTTGACATTGATTTTATAACATTGCTAGTTGATGTTATAATCTTTGGCTCTAATATTTTAAGTTCTGATATATTAAAGGTTTTGAAAAAGGAGAAATGATTTTGTGAAGTTCTTGAGTTGGAAAGTACTATGTTGTAGATTTCTTAGTTATGCCTAAGGAAACAGTTGTTGATTGATATATGCATCTATTTGCTTTTCAGCTATTGAATCTGGTTATTAGTAAAATGGATTCGGAGGTCCTCAACACTGCATCTGTTTCTGAAGAAGTTCATGCTGGTGAATTGGAGGTGGAATCAAATTATATAGATTCTCTTGAAGTTATGTCCTCCAGTGGAGACATTATGCGAGAACTGGAGAACGTTGGGGAACTTTTGACAAAGGTTGAGTTGGATTTAGCATGTTTCTCTGAGAAACTCCTAAATTTGGATATACTTGTAATGCACGTGGGAGCAAGGGAAAGTGATTTTGAAGCTTTTGTTTCGGAGAAGGAGAGCACAATTGGTGATTCTGCCAAGAAGGCCCTTGAATTTGATCTTTTATCTGGAATTTTGGAGTCAGAGGTGAAAGACCTAGATAATTTTATAGTAACTCTCCGAGTGGAAATTGATAATGCTCGCGAAATGACTATTTCATCAAAGCATTATGGGGAAGCTTTCGAGTACATGCAAGAAAAGTTAACGGACTGTGTAAAATCTTTTGACCAGTCATTGGAGCAGGTTTCAGAAATGAGGGTGCAATCCAACAACTTCCAAAGGACATTGTTAACTTGTTCTGAAGGTAAATATTTAATCTTTTCATATTTAAATTGTTTATTTACCACCCGGGAGGGGGGGGGGATGGTGGTTGGTTGGCACAGCAAGGTTGCACTTTTGTGCCTTGGGAGTGCAATTTCTTAGATACACAGTAAAGTCATCTCTGCTTTGGATGGTAATGGTGTGTACCAGTGCTGCCCAGGCTCTGTGGACAGGACCCTTATGCACTGTGTAGGGAAAAATATTGGTTGACATGCCATGCTGCTTAGGGGATCCAGAACGTTTTTAATACTTCAGTAATTAAGGGAATTCAAAGGAGGTTTGTTTCTTAGAATTGCGTCCCATAAATTGCATCGTCTGTGAATATGTGACGTAATATGGCATGTTCACTGTTCAGTGATGTCTTTAGCAAAATATGATTTCAGAGAGAGGGAAAGAGGAAGGAAATAAATAATTATGTGTAAGGGGCAAGCATCAGTTCTCTAAGAGAGTTGCCTGTTTTTGGCACGAGGGATTACAGGTCTGATGTACGTATAGAGTCCTCTTGCATTTAGTACAAGGTGACATCCTAGCTTAATCTCAAAGTAGCAGGAGGTTTGCTAATTAGTTTGTTTTCCACTGCAACAAGTCTCAATTTTCTTTGTTGGTCTTAGGTAGAGAATTATGGGAACTATCTGTCCATGTTTCTTTTGTACTTGTTTTAGTAATCCTGTATGGGTGAAGGTGAGATGTCTGTAGCACTATTTTACTTAGTTACTGCATGCATAAAGTAATTATAGATGAATTCCTCATTTACCACATTAGGCTAACTATCCTGTTCTGAGAACTAATTGTTCTAAAATAATAATCTTTCTTTTTGCACTAAAAGGTGACAAGGACATCGACTCTGTCGGAAATGGTTATTCTTCAGATTTGAACTCAAAGATAAAGATGCAGACTGCTGAACAGCAGAGGCATATCTTGAGAATGTTTGAAAAGTCTTTGGCAAGGGAACTGGATCTTGAGAAGAAGCTAACTGACTTGAGACAAAGTGAGGAAATTTTGAAACTTAAGCTGCAACAAGACATTTTTTATATGGAAGAAGAAAATGAGGTTGCTTGGGAAAAGTTGTTTGAGGCAGAAAATTCTGCTGAGGTCCTTTTGTGGACGTCAAAAGATTTCACGAGTCAACTCCAGATAGTAAAGTTTAATCTAAATGTTAGTGTCCAGAGAGAAGCAGGGTTGAGATCTCAGTGTCAGGAGTTAAGTAAACAGTTGACAATGAACAATGTTGCTCTACGGAAATCTGAGGGCATGAATGCAGAACTTGTGGCTAAGTTGACTTCAACTGAGAAACAAGTGAAGGAATCTGAATTGCAGCTCTTTAATTTGAAGGGTTCTGCAGAAAAACAAAGGGAATCACTCTCTAAAATTCATGAACTGGAAGAGCTTGTCTGTCATTTGAAAGAAAAGGTTTCCGAAGCAGAAAAAAGGGCTGATGGTGCAGAAGCTGAAAGCAAATTGCTAAGGCATACCAATATGGAACTTAAAAAAGATAGTAATAGTAGTACTTTGGAGACAGTAAATCTACTTGAAAGGCAATTGAGAGAGACTGATGTTCAGCTACAACATGCAGTTGCATCTGCTGAAGCAAGTCAGGAGAAGCAAAGCATGTTATATTCGACGATCAAGGATATGGAAGATTTGATAGAAGATCTCAAATCTAAAGTCTCAAAAGCTGAAAGTCGGACTGAGAGTGCTGAAGAAAAGTGTATAATATTGTCAGAAACCAACTCAGATCTAAATGACGAGATAAAGTTTCTAAGGAACAGAATGGAGTGCTTGGATGCATCACTACATCAAGCTGAGGAGACAAAGAGAGCAACTGCAAAGGATATTGGTATCCGGACTAAGTTGATAACAGATCTTATCATGAAGTTGGCTCTGGAAAGAGAACGGCTGCATAAGCAGGTTTTAATTTTTTTTTATAAACCTTCAAAAGTTCATTACTTTGAATTAATAGATAACTGACTGAACTTTAGGCTAAATAAGCTGAGGTCCTTTGGTAAAACGCCCATAATAAAGACGTTTACTGTCTGTTCTTAATTCAACATGCTTCCACTAGATGATCACCTCATGGCTATTGAGAACAAATTAAATCAGATGGTTCTATTTCTCAATCCTTTCTGACTTTCTGTGCTTGTGTTCATTTTAATTTTCAGTTTTGCTAGTCTTGATCTTTAGTACTCTTTATAAGGCTAAATAAACTGAGATCCTTTGTACTGTGATTCCCTCGTATTCATTTAATTGTCAGTTCTGCTGGTCTTGATCTTTAGTAATCTTTTTAGAAGGGTCTGTTTTTAATATTGGTAATGCCTGGGTGAACAACTAAGCAAAATCACGTTTTTAGACCAGGAACTGTCTATTTGCTCAATGAAGATTTTATGTCAAGGAAATATTTGCAGAAAACTATAGTGTGATCTATAGTGCTTTGTCTGTTTTTTTGATATTTCAATTTGTTCATGACCTGCATGCAGATATCTTTGCTAACGAAGGAGAAAAAGTTTCTTTTAAAGCGTCTACAGCACATGAGCAAGGTCATTCTATAATGCAAGGAAAGACATTGAAGATAGTAACAAAAGTTTTCCAAGTTTCAAGGAATGACTTATCAAGTGGAACTTCTTTAAAGGAAACTAACAGTGACGCAACTGGACCCTCAAATACCAGTCATGAGGTTGGTTTTTTATTCTTTACACTGTACGTTGTTGCATTTGATGCGCTAAATTTGAAAGCAGAATGCACCTTAGTTTCTCATAGTCAGCTCAAGGAGAGGATTGTTATTTATGAGGATTTTGTACTGCCATAACTGCTTGAACAACTGCTGCAATGATTTTGTCTTTTGAACTTTGCCTTTTGTGCTTCATCAATCAATACTATCAAGAATATGGCTTATTGCTGACCTTTTAAGCGAGTCAAACAATTCTCTGCCCCTTGATTCTGATTTTTGGAGTTGTGTTGTTTTTTTGCTTCCTTAACCTGCTTCAGATGCTTTCTGATTTTCGGATTCTTTTTTTTTTTTTAAAGTATTCGGGGTGTATAATCTACTGGATACCTCTCAGCAATAGATGTTACATGAACTCTAGAAGTACTGCTTTATTAAAAAAAAAAAAACTCTGGAAGTATACTCTAATGCCTCTGCTTGCGTTTATTTTCAGCTTGACAATGCAAATAAAGACAAGCCCATGGGCACAGCTGGGGTCGGAGTAGCCAAAGAAACATCCGATCTCGACTCTGTGAGGAATATAGATGCAAGTCAACTTAAATCCAAGTGTGTCCTGGTGGCAGTTTTTGTGATGGTGATTGCAACTCTAATAGCTGCCCTTTTTCAGCATCACAGTGACTGTTTGTGAAGTAGGTAAACCGGACCTCATCCGATATCCTGAATTTTGTGCCAGCCATAGTGGGAAGAAATTTTGGCCGCATCATAGCTATCTTGCGCATTTTGCCTATTAGCTACGTAGAGGACGTTGTTTTCATGGTTAGGAGTGCTTAAATGATGTGGTGATGCTCCTTTTATGGTGTTTTGTTATCTTCCTCTTTTGCTCTGATGTAACTTGAACTGTAGTATTATGCTCACCTACTGAGTAGCTTGAGCGAGGAAGAGAAAAAGCATGAACTACTTAGCCACGAGGTAGGAAGTTTTGTTGCCATCGCGTATATAGTTTTAAGAAGCTGAGTCGGTCAAGCCTTTTTTTATTAGCTCCTTTCTCATATTTCATTTCCATTCATACAAAACCTGTATGGAAGCTAGCACACCAGCGCAAATTCCTCCTGTTCTGCCTTAGCTGTAACTTTCTATCGTGCATATTAGTTCTTGCGGATGGGACACTAGCGCCCCTTCAATGAAGAGAGAACAATGGTGAAATGAACAGGCATGTACAGACATTTGGATTTGAGAGGGATAGCAATCGAAAAGAGAGACGCTGGCTGGTAGAGAGGGGAGAACAATTTTGTGATAACAGCGGTTGATGATAAAATTCAAAGCATGATTTTGGAGGTCTTTACTCAGTTGTCACCAGGCTTTCACCCTTTTTTAGAGGCTGGAGAATGTACTTGCATGACAACATGCCACGTAGTCATCCTCCATTCCATCACCGTCAGAAACACAACCAGCCCACTTCATTTCGTCTATTAAAGCCGTCAAGCTGTTATATATCTCTGCACATCTTGGATGAGCTTTGTCTCCAACAAGAAACATATGTACCTCGGACTTGACCTCTATCCAGCTGCAACCTGGCTCTTTTTTGAAGTGACCGTGCCTCATCACTTTCCTTAGCCTGGAAACCCCTTCCCACATTCCAGCATCAGCATAGATATTTGATAAGAGAACACAGGTGCTGGAATCTTGAGGATCCAATTGCAGAAGAGAAGCTGCTGCTTCCTCTGCCACCTCTACATTCCCTTTCATCTTGCATATGCTGAGAAGTGTCCTCCAAATTACATCATCAGCCTCGAAAGGCATTTCTTGAATAAGCTTCAGGGCTTCAGTGACTCGGTTTGACCTGCCTAGTATATCCACCATACAAGAATAATGATCCAACTGCGGATCTAACCCATAATCAACCTGCATGGACTTGAAGTAATGCAACCCTTCCTCAACAAGACCTATATGTGCACAAGCTCGGAGAACTGCCACAAAGGTTGCATGATTAGGTTTTACATCCTTGAGTTGCATTTTTTTAAAGATCTCCAAAGCCTCTTCTCCAAGACCATGCTGAGCATAGCCACAAACCATGGCGTTCCATGTCACAAAATCACAGTTTGTTGCTTTTTCAAATACCAACCTGCAATCCTGCAAGTTCCCACACTTCGAGTACATGTCGACTAGAGTGCTAGTTATGAACACATCTGTCTGCAACTCTTGCTTGATTATCTGAGCATGGATTTGCTTTCCAAGCTCAACAGTTGCCAGATTAGCACAAGCGTCAAGAACAGTTGCATAGGTGAAATTATCAGGTTTAGCTCCCATTTCTAACATCATAGAAAAGAACTTCTGAGCTTCCTCACTTTGTTCATGTGATGAGAAACCAGAAATGATTGCATTCCATGAAACAATTGTTTGTTCATCCATTGTGCCATGAAGCTTCTCAGCTTCTCCTACCTTTCCACACTTACAATACATATCCACAAGAGCACTTCCAATAAATGATTCAAGCCCCATCCCAGATTTAATGATCAAGCTGTGAATCTCCATCCCGTGATTAAGAGCTTGCTGACCTGCACATGCTTTTAGTACACTACCAAAAGTAAATTCATCAGGTTCCATGCCATGCTTAAGCATTGAAACAAATAGCAGTACGGTTTCCTCTTCATTCCTATTCTGCTCATAAGCTGCAATGACTGCATTCCAAGAGACAGCATCCCTTACTTCCATTTCATCAAATGTGCAACGAGCTTCAACCAATGCTCCACATTTTCCATACATGTCAAGTATGGCATTTGCCACACAAACATCAGACGAGAAAGGACTCTTGGTAGCTAATGCATGTATTTGAGTTCCCTCTTTTAATCCTTTGATCACTGCACAAGCACTAAATGCACCAGATAAGCTTATTTCATTGAAACCAAGGTTGGACTTTAATAAAAGCTTAAGAACGTTTAGAGCTTCATATCCACAATCACCTCGAGCATAGCCAACAATAATAGCATTATGAGATTGCAAACTGCGGTTGGGCAACAAGTCAAATATCTGCTTAGCATAATACAAATTACCACACTTTGCATACATATCCAAAGTGGCAGTTCCAACTATGACATCGTATCCAAAATTATTCTTGATTGCATGACCATGCAATTGAGATCCCAATTGCACCTCAGATAGTGCAGCACATGACCGGAAAACACTAGCATAAGTCGATTGACTCACCCCAACTCCCTCTCTCTGCATCCGCCTGAACAATTTTAATCCACCAACAAGCTCATCATTTTGAACGCAGCCCGCAATTGCAGCGCTCCATGAAACCCAATTCTTATTTGGAAGTTCTCCAAAAAACTGAAAGCACTCATCTAATGTTTTACATTTCCCATACATATCTACAAGTGCACTACCGGTTACCACATCATGGTCAAACCCCACCTTAACTACAACGCTGTGCACCTGAATTCCCAACTCATAATCTTCCAAACCGGAACAAGCCTTTAGAACCACAGCAAAAGTGGTTCCATCAGAAGCCACGCTCTCCCTTTGCATCCCGACAAAAATTTCGGCTGCTTTTCTGTAATCCCCATTTTGCAGGTAACCTGAAATCAAAGTGTTCCACGAAATAACATCCCTCTCAGGCATCAAACCAAAAAATGATTGAGCCATTGCAATATCGGTTGAACAATAAGCAAAAATCATTGTATTCCACGAAACCGTGTCTCTTTGAGACATATTATCAAACACTTTATTAGCATAGTGTAAGTAGGAGCATCTTACATACATTTGAATCAAACAATTCGAGACAAAAATTGAGGGTTTGAACCCAGTAGTTAACATTCTGGCGTGGGATTGCATTCCCGGGTCTAAAGCTCTCTCTTTTGAGCATTCTTGAAAAATATGCGAAAAGGTTTTCCAGTAGTTTGCGGGCGCTACAGCTGAAACTGTAGAGATAGGGAAGGTATATAAGGCCAGATAGCTGCTGAATGAAGGCTTTGTCGGGACAAGAAATCGTCGGGTTCGGCATATTAGAGAAGCCATCAACTGTTGGATTCATGATTCATGCTTGGCGGGACGCCGGGACCTCACCGCTTGTCGGTTAATTTCAGTAGCCTTTTTGGGTTTATTTCAAAATGCACCCTTAAACTATTGCTGGCTTGTGACTCGCACCCAAAACTTTATCTGTGAAATTTTGACAGAATACTCAATTATCATATTTGTTTTGGCGGGTTGAGCATTAGTGAAAGGACTTCAACGACCCTGCAAAATGTATGTTCACTAATTTAACCTTTTACTACCACAACCACCGCAACTTTTGCTAACACTGCCACCACAACCACAAAAGCAATTTTAAAAGCTTTTGTAGGTTGGATTTCATTTTTCGTTCCTCTCCTAGAGTTAAGTGTTCCTATCAACAACCACTGATCATAGTTAACCTTCACTTAACTCAAAGCAAATTAATTAATTAATTAAAAAAACCAAAGCAAATTAATTAAACTAAAAGACCCAAATCGACCCCATTAAGATAAACTCATCATAATTGAAACCAAAACTAAAATATAAGCACAACTACTGTCACACTTCATATGGTGTGCGCAAATCAAGATGGTAAAATAGTAGTATTGTTTTTTAGATTGGTGTAGAAAGAAAAAGTGATTGGGGGTTTGAAAAGAAGTATGGTTGATTATTGGATTTAGCAAGAATGAGAAGGAGAAGAGTTTTGGGGCTTGCTTGAGAATTTAAAAATCAATAGGTAAGGGAGATTGAAAAAACCATGATTGATTTGTGGGTTAATTAAGAAGGAGACACAGAAGAGTTTTGCGGGTTTGCTTGAAAACAAAAAAATTAGCTAAAAGGATGGAATTAAAGGAAACTATATGTTGACCAAGGGGGAGGAAGGAATAGGTTAGATAATATAAGTGAAAGACTTGGTATTTAAAACCTCTCGCTTACACTTATAATTAAAAAAAAAAAAACTAAGTTGTTGAGAGAAAAAAAATTAGAGAGTGAAGTGAGATTTATAGGGAGTAAAGAATGTGGAACGATAAGAAAATTATTTTAGGAATTTTGATTACTCATATTGGGACAAAATTGTCATGACAACTTTTCTTAACTAAAGTCTACTAGATTGACGTAAAGCGCTAAAAATTTATAGATAAATATATCACCATTCGTAGTTCAAGGTGTAAATTACAAATCCAAAGGTATTGGAGGATACATTTTACAATTAATCCTTTCTTATTGGCTTTCTTTTCTTTTTTTTTTTCAATACTCCTACTACATGTACATTTACTTTGCATTTGTTTGTGGTTTTATCGAAACTTGAAAGTATTCTCACATTCTCTCACTCTTCCTTTTTCTTTTTTCTTTTTTTTTTTAAAAAAAAAATTTGTTTATGGGTCTCTAAATCTCAAGCATTATCCCATGTGAGAGAAGGACAGTAATGGTTGCAGGAATCAATCGTTTTTTAAGGCTTATAGTCAAAATTTAGTAAAAAAAAAATAAAAAAAAAAGTCATATTATATTTTATATACTATTTTTTATATTATGTACGAAATTTATAAAATTTTATTTTATAATTACGCGTTATTAAAAATAAATTACACACGCCCATACACGCGTACATCTTTTACGTTTTATAAAAGTGAATGAATTACACGCATACATCTTTTACATTTTATATAAAATCGTTCGTTCGTTCCGCGTCCTTTCCCGGGAATGTCCACGCAACATCACAGCGTATACACAAAAGTAACAAGCATCGTACGAAACAAAATGCTAGGGCCCTCACAAATGAAAAAAAAAAAAAGGAAGTTTTTCCTAGCTAATCTCAGCCGTTTGGACAGGAATTTCCTATCGGGCAAACTTTTCACACTAGCTTTTTGACAAATCTATATCTATATAAATTTGAGAAGGAATTTTTAGCAACAAGTCTCCACATATTTTCCCACTACCAATTCTATTTTTCTAGCATTTTACTTTTAATTTAATTTATAAATTATATTTCTCTTAACTTCCACATCTACTCTTCACATTTGAAATTGTTGGTTACTTTTTAAAATCATTTCATTTGAAACTGTTGGTTAACCTGCATGATATCATTTTGGAACTTCAACCTATTACGTTTTCAATTGCCTTGTGTTATTAACGATTCTACTCCAATTAAAACTTCCATAAGACCATAACAAGAGATAACAAATATAACATTCTTTCATGCTTTCTTTTTAATTTAAATAAGTAAGATTATTTACACTCCATTTTGTTATTCACACTTCAATAATCATTTTGATCATATAGTTTTCATTAATTAGACTATATGATAAAATAAATGGTGAAATTGCAAATAATAAAAATTTGAGTGCAAATAACATTTTTCTAAGTAAGAAGTGGCTTCCATGCCTTTCTAATTTAAATAAGTAAGAAGTGGCTCCAATTATATAGGAAGTTGGTTTGAAGTTTATTAGTGGAGGGTAAATAAAGAGAAAACATTGCCAAACTTAGTCAAAGTAAAAAAGTAAACGATAATACTTTATCTTTTAACTTATTAATGCTAAGTAAAAGAGCAAAATTAAATAGAAAACAAAAAAGAAGGATTTAAAAAATCAAGAATGGTACCATCCATGAAATCACTAAATAAAAACAAAGTAATACTGGCCTTTTAACTTGGAATTTTTTTTTAAATATTCATTTTCGATAAAAATAATGATAATAACAACACCAATTCTACCAACAAAATTTTAAAAAATAATATTATAGTTTAAGAGAAAAATATAGAACATTCGACCCTAAAATACTACTTAATTTGTATATATATCTGGCCCAAATTTGACCCTGATTAGATTTGAATAAGAGTGTAAAACCCAAACACTAAGGATAACTTTTGGTATTATTAATTATTTTATGTATTCTTATTGTTGTCTTCATATGTAAATATGTATTTTCTATATTAAATATATATACATATATATATTGATTGTAGTACTTGAGGATATTATAGATATTACCAGTTTTCATTTTCATATTTAGATACTAATAATTGCAACCATTGCAATCAATTTTCAATTTTATATTTTTCATTATGATAGATAAAGTTAAATATATTGGGTCGAAGGGATATGAATTTAGAGATTGGGTATGGGGGGAGGAGGAAGGGAAAAAAATGGTGAGGAGTTGAAAAGTGGCGAGAAAGGTTGAAGAAAAAATGTGGGTTACAAGGATGGGCGGAAAAAGGAGAGAAGAAAAAGGGGGATTGTCGGAATATAACAGATATGACAAAAAAAAAAATAATAGAGAGAGTGGTACCATGATAGAAAATATGAAAGTCAAGGAGGCATCTCATGACTAGCCAGCGGATAAGAGAAGAGGGAAATGATGATGATTTTTAATAATTTTGAGAACTCTAAAAACATATATTACAGAGATTTCTTTTAATATATGTTAAAGTTTATGAAAAATGCTAATCTAAATGCAGTCAACAATCTTAGCGGTACAAGATAGAAGAAATATTTTTTTCTAAAAATGGAAGAAAATAAATTGGTTATAATTTTTTTATATTATAAGTTTTGATATATGGGTATAACATAAGATGTTTTGTCAGGTACTGATACATTGATTTTTTTTTAAGAAAACTCTTTTCACCTTACCACCCAACCTAACCCTCTCCTTAAATGTGTTAACAATTCATCTATCATGTAAATCATTATAAATTAAAATTTTTTCAATATGTCAAGCATACACTTCTTTAAAATTTTTAGTCTATATATATATATTATTCTGTACCACAATATATAAAGATATACAATATTATTTTGATTTGAAATATAATCCCGTGCATAGCACGGGTCAAAATACTAGTGCTAAAGAACCGAAAGAAGGGTCATCGCGTCGGTTTCTAGGAAACTTCGAGGAACGGGCGAAGAACAACGGACGGAAAAGAAGTCAAGGCCTGAAGGGTCATCTGCATCTTCTTTGCTAGGACTAGGAAACTTGGAAGAAATTGCCAATCTGTCTTTGTAGGAAGTATAAAAATTTCGCACTGGCCTAGCCCAGAAAAACAATTGACACACACAAAAAACACAAACACAAACTGGGGAGAGAGATTTGGAAGTAGATAGCATTTCCAAGATGGTGGAGATGGAAGAAGTAAAATCACCAAAATCATCAACCACAGACCAATTACCATTCAGCAGCCCCACCAGGTGGGGATGCGAGGAATATATTCTGTTCATTTCTTACGTCATAGGCATGTCGGTAAGGTATCTGCCGGCGGAGGACATCGACGGTTACCCCATTCCGACCATCATCTTCAAAGGTCAACCGAAGACATACCAGACTTTTTTGTTGGGAATCGTGGGAGCCTTCAGTTTCTCAATTGCTACCATCTACATACGCCAGCCCACTCCAAAGCTGGCTGCCTATGTCAGACGATTTGCTATTTTCTCCATGGCCTCTTCGCTATCGCTTGCATTGTGGGCTGCCGGTCCGGCCCATTGGATACTACCCCTTTATAATTGACAACTTCCTCCGTACCATCATCAGCACCACCTCTTTTTTTTTTTTTTTTTTTTACCCTTTTTCCAGTCTTTCTTTTGTTGCTTTGAAGTCTGCCGAGATAACGAAAATATGTGTTTGGATGGGGGTTTATTTGAAATAATTATTATAATATATTTTGTAATGGGATATATGTGAGATAAAAAATAATTAAAAAAATAAAGAAATGTATTGAAATTTGTATTGCAAATTATTTTTTCTCAAATCATTCCAATCCAAACACTTATAACTAGCCAAACACAAACCTTGTATTTAGAGAAATCGTGCAATCGGCTTTCAAATTATTACTTTTGTATGTTTTCCACCCTTCATTTATTTTATATAATAATTAAGCCTCTATGTAAGAATTTGGCCCTTCTTGTACCCAAAAAAAAAAAAAAAAAAAAGCAAACCGTTTGACCTCACTACACCACAGCCTTACACTAGCTTTATTATTCCTAGAATTGAAAAAAATATATATATATATATATAAAGGATAAGAAATCCAGTCAAGAGCTTACCGATGCCTAATGAACTGAGAAACCATAATTTGTTCTGTATGGATACAAATGAGCTATATATAGATATATATGGTCGTCTATTAGTAGCATTTTAGTTATTTGTTGATAGACATGACTATATGAGAAACTTGAATGAAGTACATGAACAAGTGCTGCCAATTAGGGATGGCAATTGGGTCCAAATTGACTTAACGGGTTGGGTTGAGATCCGGGTATAATAGAAAATCCGCTGACCTGCATCAAACCCGTCAACTCGAAACAGGTCAGAATACCAGACTTGAACCCGAAAATTTCGGGTTGACGGGTTGGCAGGTTGATCCGAAATGACCCGAAATGACCCGAAATTGAATTTTAATTTATTAATTTACCATTGTAATTTCTAATAAAACCAATTTTGCTCAAGACTAATTACATAATCAAGTAATAAAATTTTAAATAAATAATCCCAAATCAAATCTAAAATAAATAAAAACACCATAAAAGTGTTTTATCCCAAACCAAGTATAAAATAAATTAAAACAATACAAAAGTAAAAAATAATATAATACATTATTTATCCAAATATAATAATTTCAACTTCACACAAGTAAATTAAATTCATTTAGGATTAAGTGATTAATGCCTTTGGAAAAAAAGAATAACTTAGTTTAGTTAGATAAAATAAATTTTATATTTATTATATTATTTTTAATTCATAAACGGGTTATCGGGTCACCCAATGGCTGACTCGAATTCGACCCGTTTTCTTTTCGGGTTCATCGGGTTCGACCTGAACCCACAAAACCTCAAGCCAAATCCATTAATTTCGTGTTAGATTCGTGTCGTATTTTCAGGTCATATAAAAAATTGCCACCCCTACTACCAATGGACTAAAAAAAAAGTTATCAGTATTATATTTAGACTTCGTTTGACAAATGAGTTTTGTGAGTGTTTGTTTAAAATATTACTATATCTTACTATAAAAATTGTAGAAAAAATTTTTGAAGTGTATAAATTTTTCAATATTTTAAAATGTATAATTTAAAATTTTAAAATTACTGTAATTAAAATTATTAAAAATTTTGCAACAGTCAAACGTGCTTGGCAAACCGGCCCTAGTCACCTATCTTCTTGTTGTTTGTTTCAAATCCCATCGGGCCCAAGGTACACTACGCTTTCTCAACGCCAATAAAATAAAATGCTAGTGGCAAAAACACTTGAAGAACTATATAGTTTTCCTTGGTTACTATACAACAACCAGACAAACGAACGTATCGCAGGAGAGAAAAATCGTACGGAAATATCCCATTCCTAAATCCATCCCCAGGGGATAACTCACTCCCTTCAATCTTTGCATATTACTCAGGGGAGTAGATTCGTTTTTCTTTTATTTTTTATTTCTATTTTGGGCTCTTTTGGGTTCACCAAGAACGGCTGCCCGTATCGTTCTTAGCCGATGGCGGAAGTCACCGACCTACGCCTCTCCGACCAACAAAATCTATCCGCCCCTGCCACCACTATCGGCGACAGCGCCGTCGCCTTTGCGGAGGACGAGGATGAGGAGCCACAACCCGATGTTTACGCCTTAAATTTCCATTCCCTCTCTCCTCCTAATCCTTCCTTCTTGATTGATGACAACCTCAATTTCACCGCCATTTCAGAATCCGAATCCGGCTCTCAGCATTCCGAATCTGTTCACTCCGACCAGAATTTCCTCTACTACAGCCCAGAAGACGACGACGACGACGATCAAATGAATTTCGTTACGGATTTATTCGCGACCCGCCATGGTATCCCCGACCATGGACTGTGTAATTCTGAATCCGGGTGTACTTGTCTGGACGAAGAACCCGAATTAGTTTTAGGTGCACAGGCCGAATGCAATGGGGTTGATGCTCTTCCGTCAATGGTCGGCGGTCTTCGAATTGTGAACATGGAATCGGAGTCCGACTCGGAAGCTGCGGAGATCCATTCTAGGGTTGATAGAGCAAATGATCATGATGGGTTGAATCCAAATTATGATGACTTGGACGAGTTTTGGGATTGCCCGCAATTTGATAGTCAACGGGCGAGGGCTTTTTTTAACGAAGAATTCGAATGGGAGGAAGTGAATGTTAGGGAAAATCTGAGTTCTTTGATTGATCGAATAGAGGAAATTTCAGTTTCCTCTGACACTGAAAATTCGACTTTTGATACTGGTGGTGGAGAACATGATGAAGAAAATGCAAGAAACGTGGAATGGCAGGTCCTATTAGCAGTTAACAATCTGGAAATAGCAGTTGGTTTTGATGAATATATCGTCCTGTTTGGGGAACATGTTGATGCAGAGAGTACTGTTAAGGGTGGTCCGCCAGCTGCCAAATCCGTGGTTGAAAATTTGCCTTCAGTAGTTTTGACGACGGAGGATTTAATGGCAAATGATGTGGTTTGTGCAGTTTGCAAAGATGAGATTTCTCTGGGGGTGGAGGTGACTAGGCTACCCTGTAGTCACCATTATCATCAGGACTGCATTATGCCCTGGCTAAGCATTCGTAATACATGTCCTCTTTGTCGCTTTGAGTTACCTACAGATGATGTGGATTATGAGAGAAGAAAGAATAGAAATGGCGCTGGCACTAGCCTGATTGGTGATTTGCAATTTAGTAATTATCAACTTTTACCCTGAGAGTGTCCGTAGATTGTCAATTGTGGAGGATATCTTTAGGCAGATGATATTTTAGGTCTTGGTGAAGATACCGACGTTTTCTTCTTGTGCATTTTCGAATGTTGTAATGGTAAAGTCACAAGCTTTACAGTTAGTGGAGTGTTACATTGGGAAATTTTGTGCTTTTTGCCATTGAATAAATCATGTCTTGTTGCGATGTAAGTATGATAGAGAGTTACATGTAGTGTAAAACCACTGTTTATATGAATGAACCGTTTTAACTTTATGGACCATGGTTACGTTCTTTCTTCTTCCTTTGGCATTTGATTTCTCCGCTAGTGAAGCTGCATGAGCTTCTGCACTTGGTGTTTTGCTGGTCCGGATATGGATTGTGTTTTTAACGAATTGGATTTATTTTCGACGTGTTTGTTGCATCTTTGTTCTTATAATGATTGCTAGGCTGTAAAAGTAGAGTTTTGGGGTTATCATCAGTTCATTTCTCCTCCCAGGCTCAATTTGAGAGGTAAAGTTTGTTGGCAGCTAGATCTTTTGCATGAGCGGTCAAGCTTTTAGCCTTTTGCACGAATTGATCGGGAGTTCTGTAATCTACTCAGATACATTTTTTTGTTAATTTGAACTGAAGATTATGAAGGTAAAGTAGTGCTGGTGCTTAAGTTCCTTTAAGTAATAGTTCAATACAGTTTAAATACATGATTTGCTATAACTGCATGTGGCGCTGGCTCTTAAGCATTTCAACATACTTGAAGAACTGAGGGTCAACATATGGCCACCCATTACAGGTGGGAAATTTGATCTGTCTTTTGGTACTTGATGAATTGACCAAGGTTATGGACATTATGTGTAATCTTAAGCTGAAGCTCTTTATCCCACCAACTGCATTCGAGTCTTTTTGACATTTTATTCAGTTCTCATGCTGTTTAGCCAGCAGGATACTTTGAAATCTGCTAAGCTAGTTACTGAAAGTTGGCCATCTACCACAGCCCTTTGCATGCAGATGGATGAACCACCTTTTAGTAGCCTATTCATTTCCATCTTTGTTTACAATCTGTTGTTGACAAGCTCTGATCTGAATCCTTATAACATGAATGTCTTCGTGTCTCTATTTGGCATCTGAAATGTACCAAAAGCTCTTACGCTGTTTACAATCTCTTGTGGTTTGTGGTAAATGGCTGCTTTGTGGATGCTTCTGATTCTAGTTGTATATTTAATTTAAATCTGCTCCAAGGGTTGGGACAATTTTTATGATAAAAATGAAGATACAGATTTCTTCCCACACACTTTAGAATGAATGTGGAATTAAACGATGGTGCAAGGAAAATATTATTGTGGCCATCCTGGAACTTTTTAACTGTCTTTTTTTGTTTTTGTTGGCTCCGTCTTACAAAATCAAGCTAGCTTTATCCTGGTTATAAAAGATTCTTTGGGAGTTGGACGACAGATACCAGGCATTTGTAGCCAAAACGGGGGGAAGGAAAAAGACACAGGTTGCCTGAGAAAAATGGAATCCCATGCAAATGAAAACGATGGGATGGCTCCGGATCCTCTGTCTACTTTGTCCGCCTAAATCAGTACGACGTAGTGTTTGTCAAAAACTATCTCGTGCAGCTCCTTGAAGACAAAACTTTATCACCCTCATCATTCATCGAGCAAAATCCAGTCCTGCTTTTTTCATTCAACAATACAGCTACAAGATTTAATAAAATTGTGTCTTCCAACCATCCAACTACAAGATCTAGTAAGCTTGTATGATTAATCCTCTGAGTATTAGAAGAACTCCTACACGACGACACCGCTGAATCACCTGAGATGACACCGCTGGGATTTTGATTGGTCTCTTATATGTCCACATTTTGTGGTGCTCGACTTCTTTGTTTATGGGAGATACAGATTAGTCCGGAGGATGATTCCCTCTGAACCGCCATGAATTGCAGTCGGTCGAACGTCAAAGCCACTTCATTAAACTGGTAGTGTCACTTGGGCTCCTTTTGGGTAAACACTGCCATTAAGGAGGATGTATGGTACTCACTATTAATAGTAGCAGCATATCAAGAAAGCGTTGATGAAAAAATAGAGGAGGGTGGGGGGTATTAAACGCCCTTATTTTTTTTTTTTAACTGAAACGGTAGTTTTTATTGATTGAAAACTAAACTGTACAATTCTTGAGCAAAGGCTCATCTTGAGCTTTACAAACATGTACTAAGATACGGAGGAAACCAACATTCCTCATCTTGTGTTAAACTAACAGCATGATTGCTAATCATTCTGCTTCTCTACTTCTTTTAAACGCCATTACAAGTAGTCATTTTTTACAAGATTGGATTTTCAAGGTCCGGCTGTTTGGCCTTCTGGTGCCCAAAGAGCCAATCAAACAGAGCACTCAAAATTGTCTAGAAGCCAGCTTGTGGCTTTGGCTATTGCTAGTGGCTTTGATTCAAAAAAAAAAAACAGGATGTGTATCAGAAGAGTGAAGACTAGGGAGGAGAGGGTATTAATGGCTTCATTGATTGTGGGATTGAATCATTTAAAGCTAATTGAAATCAAAAGCTAAAGCTGAATGAGGATAGGGCTTCCGAATAACTTTTTTTTAAAAAAAAAATTGGGCTATCCGCAATTCTCAAGAGAGGAGGGAGCGAAATCTCAAGATCTCATCTTGATTGTATAGGAGAAATAAGTGAAAATATTATTGAAAATTCAGGCATGAAATTGCTTAACCTCAAGGCTTGTTATGGTTGATTAGAACTCGAGTAGCATTAAGATTGACTTTCTTCGCAACTGTAATGCACCCGTGGACGGAAGTAAAAGTAAACTAACGGGGAAACACATCGAGTTTTGCCCATGAAGTTGCCTTGATGGTAGGAAACCGTTTTTGATAACAAGGATTGATGTTGCCATGATTCAGAAGCTAAAACTTTTCTGGTCTCACTCACTCACGGTTTTGGCTCGGGGTTGGGGGGTTTTTTGGGTTTGTCAAAGCCTCACTCAAGATTGGGTCCTGATCAAACCCCAATATACATTCTCATCATTCACAATTCGACGAGGATTATATTCTTATCATGTCACAAAATTAAGCAGGGTAGCAACATGATACCAAGCAATGTCTATACATCAGGGTGCATATCAGCCCTCTAATGTGAGGCTACTGCAATTTAGCTTCAGGCAGATTCTGAAACTGATCCAGAGAGAACGGTGGAATTTCTCTTCCATCACAGTTTCCGAAAGTTCAATAACCACGCAGCTGCTTTGATGATATCCCTTAAATTCTACCCACCGGAGTAACTTGCTGAAGGAAAACGCTAGTTTCAGAAAGTTGTCATTCTATATATACTAGATTACGAAGTTTCATAATGGTTATTTAGTTACGCCAGGCTCATTAGCGTATCAAGTATTCAACTTTTCTTACTGGTACATATATTGTTATTTTTGTACGAGAGAGAGAGAGAGAGAGATGAATGGCCCAATAATTGAATTGACGTGGAGAAGAAAGAAGTGTTTAACAGTAGTCCATGAAGGCAGCAGCAACAACAACACAACTACAGGATGGCTAAGAAGTCTTGTTTGGTCTAAAGATTGTGCGAAAACGAAGTCCATTTCCGAGCACCTTTATCATCCACATTGTTAGTGGATCACAACTTTTACAGCAAGTACGCAAGCATATGGACATTACATGCAAATCAATTCATTTTACTACTAAAATTGCAGCACCAAACCAACCGTTGCATTACTTTGTAGATTGCACGAAAGATGGAAATTGTATTTAAAACATACCACAAACAAAGGTGCCATGATAGAACTTGGAAAACAGTTATATATATATATATATATATATACACACGGAAAAAGTCCAAAACAAAAGCAAGAAGGCCGGGATGAAGTAGAAAAGATGCTACTGCAGATGATGATTTTATCCTGTCTCGACCAATCTCTCGAGATTACTTGATGTCACTCAAAACAGGAAGACACAATGAGGTAACACAAGGACAGATTCAAGATTAAAGAGGCTATATAAACGTCTAAAACACTATAGCAAACTTTACTACTGTCTTCTTCTCCAGAATATAAAACAATGGCAATGGCACTTTCCGCCCTCCAAAATTGCAGCAAGGAATCTTAGGCTAGGAAGATTTTCAGATGTCAAGTTGGTTGCATCTTTGTTTGATGCTTAATAACGAGGATCAGCAACCAGCCGAACAATGCGGTATGGTAACAATAATAATATGTTACTCTCGAGTCTCGAACAAAGATGATTCAGTTTTTTGTAATGCTTGTCATATCCCGATTCTTGAAATTCTATTCATGTCAGATAAAAGTAGGAGCTAAGCAATTTGCAGCTAAAAGGTGCTACTCTCATCTAAATTAGCACAACAGATAAGAAAAATGGCGTTTTCAACTTGAAATGCTCTCCAAACTGGACTAGCATATGATTTGGCCTGAGGAAGATAATACATCACAGTTCCAACCAGCAAGGACGGTAACCTGATTGGGCTGAACACATGATTGTCGCACGGAACCGTGTAAAATGACAACCACGAGAGAAAAAATGCGAAGGTTGGTTGAATGGGGTGCACAAATGGGTCGCACATGGTACAAGTGACAGTACTGCAAACTGGGGAGTCCCATCACCTCACTTCACAGCACCTGAATAAAAGGCTCGTCAGTAACAGTACCAAAACTCTGCGATGTGGGTGTCAAACTGTATGGGGGCGCCTCCTGAGTTCCCACGCCTGGGCCTGGCCAATGGGTGAAGGTGATTGACAGCCAATTGAAAGTATGGTTGGGAAGGGGGGCGGTGCTAAAGCTCTAACGAATCGAGTTATCTGCGAGCGTGTTTGTACATGACCCGTTTAAATTTAAAAAAACATTCGATCATTTAATGAATTAACCGAGTTTGAGCGCAATATTAGACGCGTTTAATAATCGAGCAGTGGAGTACGAATCTAATAGTTCGTAAATACATTTATAATTATAAATATAAATATCAATACGTCTAATATTATTAGACATATATTATATTTTACTGAAAAAGCAATTATACATAAATTAGAATTATTTATTTTTAAAAAAAATCAATAAATACAACTAAACTTATTCTAAATAATGCATTATTTATTAAAAATATAATTAAATAATCTTCAAAATCAAATATTTACGAATCAAATTCAAATAATATTTATAATTCATTAATATTTGAGTCGTGCTCGAATCTTGCTCTAGATTGAGGCGCACACGACGTCCACACGCCCTCGCCTTGAATTGGCTCATTGAAAGCTCTAGGTTGCAGCGCACACGACGTCCACACGCCCTTGTTAGCAGGGACCCATGGGTTTTTTTTTTTTTTTTTTTTTTGGTCAAAAAGAAAAAAAAAATCCCATTTTCAAGGGCAGTTGTCTCTATTTGGTCTATTATTTGCCCTTGAAATTTCGTTGTCTCGCAGATGCTTCTCCTCTCTCTCATGATTACGCTTTTGGATTTTTATCCGTGAATTTTGCATTCTGAAGGGGGCAATGTATTATGCGAAAAGGAGTAATTGGATACGGTGTATGATCATGTAGAGGGAGGGATAAGATATGGTTACTGAATTGAGGGCCTCGAAGTGAAGTGGTGGTAATATGTTACTATATAAAATCATTTCTTTCCCATCTCAGCGGGGCGGGGCGGGGCGGGGTGCTTGCGCTAGCTTTTCTTGTCTCGTCTGCCTCACCTTTTTTACCCCCCTTTTGATTTAATGGGGAGAAATAAAATTAGAAAAGCCGAAAAGAATTGTAAAGGGCAGAAAACGTCAAACCCACAATTGAAAGTGGACGATAGATATTTTGCGTCGCATTCTTTCGGTAACCTCATCCCAGATGCAAAAGTTTGCTAGATAGTTCTTGGATTGTGCAGCAACTGGCTCTTTGTTTTTTTGCTACTACAAGACGTGATACCATGACAATAAAGTAGACAAGTGGATCACTCCCAAGCATTTGAGAGGCTCTTGTTGAAAGGGCAAAAAACGAAAGAAATCCTCCAAAGGCCCTGTTGCTCGGCTTCCTAATTTTCTTGCGCCAGGAAAATCGTTATATTATTTGGTCTCTGCACAAAAGTTATTTGAAAGATTTTGCACTCCAAAAGGTTCTGGCAGTGTAAATGAAGCGATTGACGGGACGAAAAAACCGAGGATCGAGCAAAATTCAATAATGCGTCTAGATTATGAGAAAAGGAGAAATGCGCTTGATTGCCATCCCCTATTAAGGTCAGCAGAAAAGGTGAAGATGATAGAAAGAAAGGATCTCAGGCAGATAATAAAATGAAGGCAAGGATAAAGATGAAGGCATTAGAGTTTGAATGATCCAGGTCACTTTTGCTTGCAAGATTGGAATTGTTGGAAAACTAACATCAGCAACTTTAAAGCAACACACACACACACACACACTCGCATATTAAAACTTGAGAGACAGAGCAACTGTTCCAGCAATCATGGATTGTCTTTGGAAAAGAAAAAGGAGAAAGAAAAAAGAACCTAGAAAGGAAATACTACTGAAAAGTTGGAACACGGAAACAACAATGTAAAGACAGCGATGAAGTATGAGTCAATATCTGTCTCATGAATTTTTTGACCGTTCAGCCCACTCAACTTGGCCAACATACATGAAGTAGGGAGAGAGCATTTGCCTCCATAGGCTTTTGGCTCTGGATGCATACAAAGTTCCTTTTATTAGTGGAAGACTACATTTCAAAGTACATTCATATCTTTCCCCTTATCATCCTCCCACCAACATTAATTGTAACGCGAATTTATACATACCATAGAACTTTATAACTTGTGTGGCCAACATTCAGTATCAACTTATCTAAATCAACAAAAACCCAAGGAACAGATGATTATATATATATGTATACATATAAAGAAACAACAAGGAGGAGGAGAAGAGCGAGTTTTGAGTCCCAAATATGATATGGTGCAATGCAGGATATTCTTTCTTATGTTTTTATTTTCTGTTTGGTAAAGCTATGGGATCAACCACCATAATACCCCTATAATCTTTTAAGCTTTCTTCCCCACTGCAAAAGCTTAGAAGATTTGGATTCCCCAGTTAGTACATGTCCAAAAACTTTTTGACTGCCACGGCACACCTCAGGACTTGATAAACTTTTACTCTTTACTTTCTGAATTCCCCTGTAACATATTTCAGCAGACAAAACCAGCAATGCAGGACATTCTTAGTTATGCTTTTATTTTCTTTTTGGGAAAGCAATGGGATCATCAGCCACAACACCCCTATAATCTTTAAACCTTTCTTTCCTACTGCAAAAGCTTAGAAGATTTGGATTCCCCAGTTAGTACATGTCCAAAAACTTTTTTGACTGGCAAACCTCAGGACTTTAAAAACTTTTACTATTTACTTTCTCCCGTAACATATTTCAGGAGACAAAGCCATTCTAGTTTAGCCTTCCACTGCATTCCAGTTATGAAGTACCAGTTATATGAGAAATCGCCAATCCACTAAGTTAGTTTCCTCAGACAAAACTACTGTAATAGTTCTTACTTGAGTTTTGTCCTTTTAATTCCATTGCAACTTACGCATATCTATATATTATTTGACAAGACAGCGTACTGGACAATTCAACTTTGATCAAGCCTTTACAAGTAATTAAACTAAAATGCCAGAGAATTTTGTGGAGAAACAAGCAACTGCCTGTATGAATTTTTTTTTTTTTTCCCCACATTAGATCAGATTAAAAGAATCCCTCCAACTAGAATCCTTCCATCAAAGTGCCATTATAACTATGGTCCGTGATTTGAGATAATCAAATATAACTTTGAAATAAAAGAAACAAATTGTGTTATTTTTTCCAAAATGGATCACATGAAAGTGGTTGTTGAGTCATTAATTTTTTATTTGTTCCACTTATAGAAAGGACTTGTCCCACTTATAGAAAGGACTTTCCTTCCCTTACCTCTTTCCTCCCATGGCCTCGTTCTCCTATATCTTTACGTCACTGCACCTTGTTGGGCAAGAACCACTGCAGAGTAATAAAGATGTCAAGTTAGCTTGCTTTGCAACAACTAGCAATTTTAAATTGACTTCTTCATCCGTATTATTCAATTGCTTTTTTCTCTTCCAAAAACTTTCTAGCTTTTGAATAATGATACTCTCCATGATATTCTGTGTGCACGCATGTGTATGTGATGTGAGCATTGTTTGATGTCACCAATTATCCACAACACTTAAATTTCCAATATCTTTTGGACCTGCATACATCAGATCAGATACAATTCGTAAGTCCCAAATGACCATATTGGACAGAAGTAAAGGTTAGATGTATACATATATCCGTAAGTTTTGGTATCAATGCAGAAATGTAATACAACACAACTTATGCACGCATTCAGCATCATATTCGAGTAGTCTTGTCTTTAAGAAACTTCACTGTTTAAGAAATGGGACCGCAACATTTTTACCATCCTATAAAACCCCTCTCCTGGATGTTTGCCTTCGCCTTCCAACACCAATATTATATGATCAGGTCCAGAACCTTGTTACATACATAAATCAATTAACTAGCAGAAACCATGCAGTCAGGTGATGCAACAGAGTTGTATTATCTGCTTACTTCAAATCCAACTCAATACCCTTCTCATTTTGGCTTGAACAACAATAACATGCCTTCTTTCAACCTTAGCAGAATTTCAAACCCTTTGTGCCACCTTCAGATCAATCCCCAGATTCAAGACTTCAACCCGCAGATGGCATCTTTCAGCTGCAATTCAACTTCAGATGAAGCAGATGATCAACAACTAAGTATAATAAATGAAAGAAAGCAGAGAAGGATGATTTCCAATAGAGAATCTGCACGAAGATCACGTATGCGCAAGCAAAAGCATCTTGATGAGCTATGGTCCCAGGTTGTTTGGCTCCGTAATGAGAATCATCAGCTGATAGATAAACTGAACCATGCTTCAGAATGTCATGATCGTGTACTTCAAGAGAACACTCAACTCTGTATGAAGATGGAGGTCAAGATTTTGATTTTTGCTTTGTCTCTTCTGTTCTTCGGTGCAGTCTATTCAATAAAAATCCAACTTCACTTTGAACTGTACGATGTCTGAAAGTCGTTTTCTGCAAACAGTTTTGAGATGAAGATCATTTTGCCTTAGCTTATAATGCCGTAACTTGATTTTAATAGCTGCTAATAAACCATAATAACTTCAATTTTTCTAGTCACTAATACACGATAATAAACTACTGTATAAGCTCGGTTTCCAAATTTGAGACTGCATGGTTATTCCTTAAAAAAAAAAAAGACTGCATGGTTATTGCATACCTATATATTGACAGTCCAAATGAAAATGATGATGAATCCAGACTCGTCTGTCTGGGACGAAAAATGGCCAAAATCGTGCGGAATTGTTTTGATTATTCTAGTCAAAACAGTGACGTATAATGATGATATGAGTGAACCTGCGGGTAATACAACATTATCATAACAGCCAAAACAATGAAAAGAAAAAAGATAAATGTCAATGTGAGAACCACAAGCAGACAGAGACTTATAAAATAAACTTAAGGTTGCAAACGATTACAGAAGACGATACGGAAGTAACACTTGGTGCGGAAATTTATTGGTAGCAGCAATTTTTACAAACGTGTAAGTGTGCGGCAACATTTTCAAGTCTTTCTGTTCTGACCAGATGCCAGAATATGTAAATTTAGATGGGCCTGGGAAAGGCCATAGTTAAACAGCCGTTCTCCTTTTCCTTAATCAAACAGCACAATTCGTCCAAAAGGCATCAACAGTAGCATCACCGCAACAAAGGCCTAAGAACATTGTGTTGTTACTACTAGTATTACAGAATAAAGAAATGTCATCTCTGGGTGAACATCTTTTTGAACGCTAAATCCGTGTAAAGTCTAACAAATCCACAAATAAAAAGCTGACCTAGTCACATTAGTCATTTAAAATATCATCACATGGAAGACAAACTCATTCTTCTGTCGTACAATTGAAATCTCAGGATACAAGAAAGGCAGAAACCCTCAACTCCTACTCTCTACTAAACTACTTTCTCTAAGTATTACGTGAAGAAGGGGTCCGTTCTATCCCATCCCTCTTCTCCTTCCCTCTCAAAAAAATTATTAGATTTTGTTAAAAGAAATAAGAAAAAGTGATCTTTAAACTGAAAATTTTGTACCCTAAATCAAACAGCTCTGGTATGAAGGCAATGAAGTACAGAAATCAAAATGTGGGGCTACTCCAGAATAGAAAATTTAGTATTGGAAAATGTGGATGATGAAAATCTCAGAGATGCCAAGGTCTCCAAGCTGTCAATTTGTCAAAATATGCTGCATCTGACGCACAAATGATTCTCACCTCAATGCAAATATGCAAGAAATTGAAAAGAAAAAATACAACAACGACAAAGAAAGCACCAAAGGTCAAAGGTCAAAGTATCACTACTATCTGCAGGGGGTATTTACCTTGGTCATAAAAATCATGAGGTTGAGGATTCCTTTTCCGGAAGTTTTTTTGCTGCTGAGGCAACCGAGTGATTGGCATTTGGCAGTGCAGAATTGTTTAATTGAGAAAGTACTGGAAAAATTCGAGGGAGAGGGCTAGGGACTCGGGGTTTAACTCTTTTCCTGATTTGGAAGCAGAGGTTTCCCGGGTTTGCGTTGGGTTTGATGAAAACCAACCATGTTTTGACATTCGTCAAATGCATGTTTTGAAATACTTTGAGAAATGTGTGTTTGAATAGAATATTATTTGAAATAATTAATTTAAACATTTAATGATGTATGTGAGATAAAAAAATAATTTAAAATATAAAAAGATAAATTTATATTTATATTTATAATGCGAGCGAAATAGTACATGAAATAATTCAGCAATCTAAACACTATTTGTAATCCCATCTTTATTAATCAACAAATGATAGGATAACAAATAATGAAGTGCAAATAACATTTTTTTAATATTTTTTAGATTAAATACAAAAAAAATCTCCCGTGATTTCATTGAAATCAACGAGTTGCCCTATGATTTTGAAATATCTACATTCCATCCTTGTGATTATGGAACAACTTTAACCCATTTGTTGTTACTCATTTTTTTCCCTTTCCTTTTCTTTTTGAATTAATATTTCCTACACTGTCAGTATTGGATGAATGATAACTATGAAAAATTTGAATTTGAACTCCAAACTTTTGCATATGTGTCATGGATCTAATGGTGAAAGTATATACATTGTCAGTGTGTATAATATTTATTCTTTCTTTTATCCTATTTTTTTTCCTTTTCTATTATTCTCATTTCTTCTTTCTCTGTCACCACACAATCACTATAGCTACACCATCGTGACAAACCACCTCCCTATTCTTCTCGCCACCTCTATTTGCCACCATCTGCCATTCCTTCCTATTTTCTTCCCACTTTCCCGTCTTTCCCCTTCCCTCTACCTCTTTTCTCGCCCTTCTCCCTTTATCCCTCTTTTTCCCAATAATCAAATCTGGTCATCAGCAGAAGAGGGATAGAGCAAGAGCGATGAGAATGTGGGGAAAGGAGAGAGGAAAAGAGGAAAAACGGAGGAAGGAGGAAGAAGTAGAAGAGATGAGAGAGTAGAAGTGGGTGGTGACAAATAGGGGTGGTAGGTGGCCGCTGATGGCACGTCTACGTAAATGCACCATCCTTTTTCTTTGGCAAATTTACATGGAATTGATACCATTAAGGTCAGTAGAATTAAGAAAATTGAGGTTTCCTATCCCTCAAGAGATGCTACCTTAAAGGCCTAAGTAGGAGAGATTCAAGGAGACAACTTTATGATGGCGAGAGAACGTGTCACTCCAATCCATTTGTAGTCCAATTTTTCTCAATAAATTGAAAGAATCAAATAGTTGGGATTTTAAGGCAAATAATGTTGATTGATCTATTCTAAAGCTACATTTGATTAGAGCTATCAAAACAGTAGGAAGAATTAGCAGTAGTACAAGATGAAAAAGGATGGTAATTATATCCCTGCGAAAAATGGAGAAATTGCAAAGGAAATTAGCAAAATAGAATTTGAGGGAGAAGGTTGGGTTGGATAGTAACGAAAGGGTTTTAAACAACTGGGAAAAAAAAAGATTACCAAGGAAATTAGCAAATACAAGGTTTGTGAGACTGAAGATAAAACAAGTAGGCCAGATGCCTCAATACCATTTGTAGTTTTGGATCCACTTTGTTTAATCTAGTTAGTGTTCCACTTTAGCAATAAGAAGCAATTTGTTTTTTCTTTTTTTTATGGTTTTTTGCATATTACCTGACAAAACCGGTATTCATTTCCCATCGATCTATATTTATATGTATTGCAGAGAGGGTTTTTAGCAGATACCCTCTCAATGGCTTCCAATGTTCTCATTCTTTTTTCCTAGAATTTTGTCCTAGAACTTTAAAATAGTGGGTTATAACTAATCCTATCACTAGTCAAATTTAAAATTTAAAACTTTCCCACTATCTTCTTCATAAAACGTTTATGATTTGTTATTTATACTTTAAGTCCTTTTTACTCCTTAATTAAATAAAATACATCTGTCAAGCCAAATTTCTTAGGGATAATTGATTAGTCTCATTTTAAAATTATTCACCCTATTATATCCTCATCACTTTAGCCCCTTTTTATTCCTTCATTAAGAAGGATTAATTTATCTAGTCAAATCCTTGAGATAATGTGATTAGTCCTATTTTTTAGTTATTCATCCAATTATTTCTTTATCGCTTTCGTTCTGGGTACAATAATCATTTGTCAAAATATTCTAATGATATACTCGATTACTCTTATTTTTTAATAATTTATGTTTCCATTACTAAATCAATTTTCTTGTGGTCTTAAACTTTTTTTTTTTTTTTGTACTTAGCAAGCTGAGGGCACTTACTAGGTTTGCTTTTTATATTTTTATGTTGGCTTTTATTCAGTAAGTTTGTTTTTTAAAGTTTTAAAATTTGAATGTTGAAATTATACTCTAACATTAAATTGAAGTATGTAAATAACAATTATGACATTTTATTTGCATTTAGAATAATCTCAATATTAATATCATGCAAGCATCTAGATGACTTTTCATTTAGCACATGTACACGAAAAAGTGCATGTAAAGAAAAATGTATGTATGAATTTTAAATTAATAAAAGTGTATTTAGAAGGTTGCTTTTGGTGGTATTTTAGCAAAATTTTAATGAAAAGGTTGTATTTCACCAAATTTACATCCAAAAGTTTACTTTTTCCGATGATTGCAATTCTAGCTTTTTATTTGATTAAAAACACTTAAAAATGAGGTAGCAACTTGGAAAAATAATTCTAACTTTTTATATGTCCAAAAACATTTAAAAAGTAAGATAATGAATCATAAATAGTGAAAGCATTAAAAAAAATAGAACTGCAGGGTTAGGGAAGGTAAAGATTAGGGGACAATTATCAAATTTGATGATTCATGTGAGTATGGGCAAGTTATAATTAGGTTAATCTATATATTCCTACTTAGTTAATGGTTCAAAATAGATGAGTCGTCAATGAATATAGTTTTATATGGGTTTGGATTATCCAATCATCTATTCACAGCCCATTACTAAATGTTATTTACTTTTTCATTCATATTTTGTTTAGCAACAAAATAGTAAATCATATCAACATATCAAGTTAATAAATCAATTTTTACCTAAAGAAAGAGAAAAAAACATAAAAAATTGCTTAAAGGAGCCTAAAATGACCATCATAGTGAGTTTCAAATTTTGTCACTATATGACAATCTAAAAATAATTTAGATATTAATGCAAACAATCAATTAACATTCACGAAATTTATTAAACTTTTATGAAAGAAATGAAGGAAGTAAGATAAATTTCAAAAAATAAATAATAGAAATTAAAGAAGAGGGAAAATGATGAATACATCTTTGCAAAAATTAGAATATAATTATTAGAGTAATTTAGATTTACCCATTAATGATTGAGTTTGAATCTATGTCTAATTTAATTAAATCAAAATAAGTCATTCAAAATCTGTCAATTTCATACCCACTAATTAATGGGTTAATTTGGTCACCCATTTGAATCTAATTAAATTACACACGCAAACTCATTTGTTAATATACACACCAAATAAATAGGTTACCATTTACATTTATAAATAACTGAAAATAACAATAGAATAGGAGACAAGTGAGCTGTAAAATTAGATACGAGAAAGGATAATTGGGTGGTAGCGAGATAGAGCAAAGAGAAAATAGGATTTGATAAAACGAGAAAATGGTTGTAGGGATACAAAAAAATTGAGTAGGATTTTAAGGAACGAAAAAAGGTTGTAGGGATGCGAGAAAGTTAAATTCAGAAAGTAAAAAGGAGAATAGTGAAAAGTAGGAAGAATATCGAGGAGGAGAGAGGAGGTTGAGAGGTGAAAAAAGTGGCATGAAAAGGGAGAATATGAGAGAAAGGGATAATATTATTGTGTTTGGCCATATTTCTCCTCCTTCTCATATAAACCCGTGCATAGCACAGGCCAAAATACTAGTTATGAAGTATGGTTGAATTATGTTCATAACTTGGTTTCAAGTAAAGGAGCATCATCTACTCATTTTCCATATGTGATTTTCTCCAATCTTTTTCTTTCTTTCTTTTTTTGGTTGTTGTATTGTAGAAATAAGAGCTAAAACAGTATATTCACATATAATTATTGATTAGGTCTTTCCCAAATAACTCCCAATAAGTCAACAAAAATGAGGGATCCTAATCTAATTGATGGCTAATTACATCACATCACATCACAAAAAGTGATATAATAATTATTTCAAATAATACTTTTGTTTGGATAAAGTATTATTTGAAAAAAATGAATTGGCAAAGTGTTTATGATGTACGTGAAATATTCTCTAATTATTTTTTGTTGGCATTGGATAATAGACTTTTGCACAATTATGAGAAAAAGATTACTCTTGCGATTCAAAAAAAAAAAAATATAGTTGCACTAGATAGGATTGACCCACTTTTTTGAAAGGCCAAAAACGAAAAATCTTTATCTGTTATGTATGGATTGATTGAGTGATGCAGAAAAACTTGGGGGTTGATATTTGGATTAGTCCCGGTCTCCTGGTATCAGGGTATTATTTGCGTGGTAATATGCTGGGAATTTAGTCAGTTGCCTAAGAAAATGGTAAAATGTGGAACCGACAAACCGCGTTCTAGCGTTCCAACTTCCAACCAAAACCAGCGAGTGAAACTCAGGTCCGACTTCGAATTTAGAAACAAACACAAGTAGGGAAGGGTTAACAACTGGAAGAGTAGAAGAAGAATCAGGTAAAAAGAAAAGGAAAGGAACCTCTCTCCCTCCCTCTCTCTAGCTCCTCAGATAGATCCCATTTTCTGCTTTCACTCCGACGCATACATAGAGGACACTCTCATACACAGTCTTCTCATTCTGCATTCACTCCTAAACCCCCCAGGCCCCAACCCTTTCTGCATCTTCAATTCACCTGATTTGTCGGCATTGTTATTTCTACACTATTAGGTGGCTTGGATTCGAATAATGGCGGTGGCGGTCCGGGGCGGCCGAGGCAGCAGCATCGGCGGAGGATCTGGTGCCGGATCCACCTTTCGTAACTTCTTCTCTTATAGAGTCTTCGTCTCCGCCATGTTTACCCTCCTCTTCCTCGCCACTCTCTCCGTCCTCTTC